AGAGCCTCCATTCTTACATGTTTTCCGGCCCTGCAAAAAAAATAGTGACAAATTTGACAATGTGAATACTTACAAAAGGCATTAGCTATAAGCTTTGTGAAAAGAGAGATTATTTTTTAAATTAGAAATAATCTGTTATTTTTACAAAAGCAGTATATATTCATTGTGAAAAATTCAAAAGCAAAAATAACTAAATAGAACATTGTGTTCCTATCACACAGAAATCACCACTGTTAACAGCTTAGCATATATCATTTCAGATATTTTTGTAAGTATGTATAATACGTAATGCATTTTATACCAAAAATGAAATAGTGTACAAAATGTTTTACAACTGCCCTTTTCAGTTAGTGACCTCCACCATCTCATATTAATAAGTTTTCACATCATCTAATAACCATCCATATTCAAATTTCCCTAACTGTCCCAAAAATGTCCTATAAAGCAAATTTGTTCAAATCATGATCCAATCTCAGACCATACGCTGCATCTTAAGTCTCTTTTCATTGAGAACAGTATCCTCTTTCTAGACAAAAATTCTGAAAAAACTTTGTTTCGGCCTGGCACACTGGCTCACACCTGTAATCCCAGCACTTTGGGAGGCCGAGGTGGGCAGATCACCTAAGGTCGGGAGTTTGAGACCAGCCTGACCAACATGGAGAAACCCCGCCTCTACTAATAATACAAAAATTAGCCAGTCGTGGTGGTGCATGCCTGCAATCCCAGGTACTTGGGAGGCTGAGGCATTAGAATTGCTTGAACCCGGGAGGTGGAGGTTGCAGTGAGCTGAGATTGCACCATTGCACTCCATCTGGGGCAACAAGAGTGAAATTCCATCTCAAAAAAAAAAAATTGTTTCATGCTATATCCCCAATTCATTTAACAGTTCTTGGTACATAATAGTAACTCAATAAATGTTGGCATAATTAATTAATCAAAAACTTAGGGGGTGGGAGATTCATGCTAGAGTTTATCTCATCAACCCATTACCCTTTATCTCCATTTTATAAATAATAAAAATAAAGACCAGAGACATAAAATGACTTCCCAAGGTCACATAGCAAATACATGTGAATTGCTTTCCATACTTCTTTTTATTCTATTAAACCAGGAGTTGGCAAGCTTCTCTATGAAGGCCAAAGAGTTAATAATTTAGAATTTATGAACCAAGAAGCAAGATTGAGGATATTATATAGGTATTTACATGAGAGCAAACAAAATTCTGCAATTTCTTTTTGAGAGGGAGTCTTGCTCTCTGTCCCCAGGCTGGAGTGCAGTGGCATGACTCGGCTCACTGCAATCTCCACCTCCCGGATTCAAGTGATTCTCCTGCCTCAGCCTTCTAAACAGCTGGGACCACAGGCGTGCACCACCATATCCAGCTAATTTTTGTGTTTTTAGTAGAGACAGGGTTTCACCATGTTGGCCAGATGGCCTCAATCTCCTGACCTCATGATTCGCCCACCTCGGCCTCCCAAAGTGCTGGGGTTGCAGGCATGAGCCACTGCTCCCAGCCAGTAACATTAATTTTGTATTAATGAAATTAAAAATATAATAACAATTGACTATAAGGTTTTATAATACAGTTCTACCAATGAAAAGATTAGAATAAAAAAATAAAATTTTGCTCCATTGGGGTTGAAAATTAGTGTTCCCTATCATCAAATTTGTTGTCACTATTCATCTGAAAACACTCTTAGCTCACAGGTCATAGATTGCCAATCCCTGTACTATCCCATGAAGCTCATTTGTGGTTTTCTTTTAAAGTTTAAGTGAAAGTAACTTTCCTCATAATTGACAGTTACATTTGGGTGCTGGCATATGGGAGCTATATGATAGTAAAGCACCAATGAGGAAAATAATTCCTCAGTCACATTTTTTTTTTTTTTTCTGTCGCCCAGGCTGAAGTACAATGGTGTGATCTCGGCTCACTGCAACCTCTGCCTCCCAGGTGCAATCGATTCTCCTGCCTCAGCCTCCCACGTAGCTGGGATTACAGGTGCACGCCACCACACCCTGCTAATTTTTGTGTTTTTAGTAGAGATGGAGTTTCACCTGTGTTGGCCAGGCTGGTCTCAAACTCTTGAACTCAGGTGATCTGCCCACCTGGCCTCTGAGACTGCTGGGATTAGAGGCGTGAACCACTGCACCCAGCCCACGTTTTTTACAAGTATGTATTGTGTTACTTCAGTTACTCTAGTACTTAACTATTGTGCATGCCTGTCTTCTTTCATTTAAATGGACAAAAGGTAGGCTGCATTATGACTGTTGCTTCCATAATTTACCATATGTTAGTATTTAATAGAGCTGACCAATTTAAAAATCAGTGCAAGTGAGGACAGTAAAATTGGCCTATGTTGGGGCTACTTTTCCTCAAATAAAAATATGCTCTTTAAAGATATACAGGAAAATATTCAAAGAGTTAACAGAAAGTGGTTGCTTTTGGGGACAACATGGAATGGGGAGGAAAGCGAATGATTCCTCTTTTAAAAAAGCAAATCTTGGCAGGGAACGGTGGTCCACGCCTGTAATCCCAGCACTTTGGGATGCCAGGGCAGGTGGATCACCTGAGGTCAGGAGTTGAAGACCAGCCTGGCCAACATGGTGAAACACCATCTGTACTAAAAATAAAAAATTAGCTGGGCATGGTGGCAGGTGCCTGTAGTCCCATCTACTCAGGAGGCTGAGGCAGGAGAATCGCTTGAGCCCGGAAAACAGAGGTTGCAGTGAGCCGAGACTGCACCACTACACTCCAGTCTGG